GGGTAGCACTAATAATGTATTATAGCCCCTTATAGTATAGATATAGCGGAATTAGTAGGTATCGACTTAGTGCGATTAACTTAGCACAATAGGCCGTATAGAAGGCCTTGCTTGATAATTGGTACGGTTGTTTTAGTAGAATAGTACGTATAGGTCCCGTTCTTCGGACGTAATATAGTTAAATCGATAGTTTTCGTAGCTATACCGCTAAAAGCTTGAAATAAGGACTATCTAGCTACTACCCTTAAAGGGTAGATCGAATACTATATAATAGGGGTTATATTAGTAGGTAGATAGGATAGTAGTAGATATAGTAGTATTCGATAGAGATCTAGGAGGAGAAGGGGGAAGGCAGGCTAGTTAGCCTAACGCTAAGCGCTAAGCCCTGCCTAAGGCACTAAGACCCTAGCTTTACTCGAGCTAGTTACATGCTAATTACGTATAACCTTTAACACCGAGCGCTAAGGAAGGGAAGGCGGTTAATCGGCAGTACTAGCGGCTATAGAACGTATATAAAAGATGCGAGAAACCTATACTAAGATAGCTAATAAGTTAAAGAAAGCATAGGCCTATTAAAAGACCTACTATAATAAATATTATACGCTAATAACCTTTAAATAAGGCGATATAGTTATACTAAGTATTAAGAACCTCCGTATCCGCAAACACCCTTCCTCTAATAGCAAAATACGCCCTAAGCTAGTACTACGGTTTATTAGCCCCTTTCGTATTCGAGAACTAAAAGGCAATAGTTAAGCCTATTAATTATAGCTCCTACTATATTATACTATCTATAATACCTTCTAAATATCGCTTCTTAGACTATATTACTACCGAGAGGGCTAGGAAGCCCCTACTAAGTATAAAGATATATTAGCTAATAGTAAAGAGCTATAGTAGGTAGAGCGTATACTAGTAAATAATTAGATAAGGAATAGTAAGAAGGAGTACCTACTACGCTAGTAAGGCTATACTCCTAAGTAGGACTTATAAGTTATAGGAATCTAAAGCCTTCTTTAAGGATATAACTAAGTTACTATAAGAATATAGGGCTACTAAGGATAGTAGGAAGAAGGCTAATAAGACCTTATAAGTATAACAAAGCCGAGGTATCGCCGCTTAGGATTAATAATACCCCGGGGGTAGTATTAGCTATCTACTACTAATAGCCCGTTCTACTACCTCTATTATTACCTAATAGCAAACAACGCACTTATAGAACCCGAGACTATACCGCCTATAATAGCTACCCTACTACTACTCTTATATCTACCTCCTATATCTACCTCTTACTCTAATAGCGCCTTACTTAATAAGGATAAAGACGGCGCTAGCGGGACGTAGGCGATTAGTTATTATAGTAATAATAATATTAGAATTGCGAAGAAGGGTAAGGGCTAATTGTAGTTGCTTTATAAACGTAATAAAAGAATAAAGCCTAGAAAGCGGAAGAAGTAAAGTTAGCGCTAAGGCGCTAACTATAATATTACCTAGTAATGCTATTATTACTAAAGCCTTACTACTAGCGACCCCTACTATTATTAACCTTATACGCCTCGCGTACCCTACTAGTATTCTACTAAGGTATGCCGCCGCTATATATAAGAAGGGTTATATTAGCAGGTAGATAGGGTAGTAGTAGATATAGGTAGTATTCGATAGAGATCTAGGAGGAGAAGGAGGAAGGCAGGCTAGTTAGCCTAACGCTAAGCGCTAAGCCCTACCTAAGGCACTAAGACCCTAGCTTTACTTAGTCTAGTTATATGCTAATTACGTATAGCCCCTTTAGCCCTAATACTATATTCCTTTTCCGCCCTATATACTATATATATAGATTACTAGTAAAACTATACAGCTGATATATGTAGTATTAATTAAGGACTAAAAGAATAAAAAGAGACTTTAATAGAGCAAGACTATAGATAGGTAATATCCGGGATTACTCTTATAGATACGGTATAGACCTCGAGCTTATAATCCTTTAAAATACGTTATAAATCGACTAAGTAAATATAACTACTAGATTTCGACCTTATACGCTACGAAGGCACTATAATAGAAAATTAGCTATACTAATTTTAGTAGCAATTAATAGCTGCCTAACTAGGACCTAGGCGGTCGCTACTACTATATTATTAGGCTTAGCAACCTAGGAAAAGAGTCGAAGCCCGAGTACTTATATATACGGTTGCGTCCTAAGCTAATTATAGGAAGCTAAAGTAGGCTATACGTAATAGAAACAGTTCTTATTACTAAATAAATAGCATAAGACCCCTAGAGACTAATAACTAAGCGTAAAGGGATTACTAAAACTCTCTATACCTAGTTATAGCTAGGTATACGCGTCGTTATTAGTTAAGGCTACTACGTTATAATAGTACTAATATACTAATACTACGGGGTTTATAGTAATAGCTTAGTTAGAAGAGCAGTTATATAGTAGATATTAGGGTAAGGTTTAATAATAAGACTAGTAGTAACGTAATTAATTAGTTAAGCGTTCGACTTAGTATATAAGAAGCGCGGCCTATTATAGTTAATAACTTAGCGAGGGGAGTAATAAGAAATAGCTACGAGGGCGTAGCCTTTAGAAGGGAAGCCTATATTAGAGGGTATATAAAAGGTATATAACCGGCTAAGTAAAGCTAGACTCTTAGTGCTTTAGGTAGGGCTTAGCGCTTAGCGTTAGCCTAACTTTCTAACCTCCCTCTCTCTCCTTTATACACCTTATCGAATACTATACGCTTTTAACTATACTATCTACCTACGTACCTAACGTATTAAAGGACGTAAACTAATACTACTACTACTACTACTACTACTACTACTACTACTACTACTACTACTACTACTACTACTACTACTACTACTACTACTACTACTACTACTACTACTACTACTACTACTACTACTACTACTACTACTACTACTACTACTACTACTACTACTACTACTACTACTACTACTGCTACTACTACTACTACTACTGCTACTACTACTACTACTACTACTACTACTACTACTACTACTACTACTACTACTACTACTACTACTACTACTACTACTACTACTACTACTACTACTACTACTACTACTACTACTACTACTACTAGTAGTAACAGCATAAGCCTCTAAAGGTAGTATAACCTATAGCAATATAGGTAGCTATACTTAGTAAGAATATAAGATAGGATAGTAAACTTATTGTTTAGGCTATAGTAACTAGAGCCCTATAATATAGGCACTATTAGAGTATAACGGAAATAGTATACTATACGAGGTTAATAATCTATCTATACTACAGAAGGAGGCCTCTTTTATAGGCTTAAGGCTTAGTTCCTACCTTATAGGTATAGGGCCGGTTACTAGCTAATACTATATTATACCTATTAAAGAGACAAATAGTAAGGGAATCGACTAGTAGATAAAGGAAGCCTAGGACAAGATAGATAAGACTAATAGTAAGTCTATAGGAAAGCGCCTAGTATTATTAAACGACGATACGACTACCTAGCTAACTAAGAAGCCTAAGAAGACAATGCCTAGTACTCTAGATACTATACCGGTAGTAGCTAAAGCGACGTCGTTAAACTAGAAAAGAGCCTAGGCTAGAGCCTAGACTACTAGGCCTAGACCCCGTAGTAGTTTAAGTTAGTTTAGTTTAGTTTACTAAGCCGAGATGCTAGTTTAGTTTAGTTTAGTTTACTAAGAAACCGGTATACGGACTAGTTTGCCGGCTACGTACCGGCTACGGATAAAAACCTAACCTAAAATACGTTTAAATAGCCTAAAACATAGATATAATCGTATAGCGTATATAATATAGGGCCCCTATTACGTTCCGGACTCAATCTAAGGTCGTCGTACGTCGTCGTATATCGTCGTAGTTTAGTTAGATTTTCTCGGAAACTAGCTTAGACTAGCGGGATAAAAAACCAAACTAGAACTAAACCGGCTACCTACCGCTAAGAAACTAAACTATATACGTTTTATAGTTTAGAAACCGAACTACTATAGGGTCTAACTAGGCCTATTAAGGATCGAACCCTAATAGCGGAATTAGCTAAGTTAACGTCTAAGTAGAAGGACGCGCGTAATAGAATACTTAGAGAGCGACGAAACCTTATATAAGACCTCGAAATTAATATACTCTATCTAGCACTTAGCGAACTACTTAATATAGTAACGTAGATCCAATTACTATAAGGAATATAGACGACGATAATATTACGTAAAATTGTAAAAGACTTAAAAGTTCTAAGAAGAAGCTATAATATAAGGGAAACTAGGCCTTATAGGAAATTATCTAACGCTAGTATCCTACGCGTTACAACCTAGAAGCCGACTAACCCGCCTTCGCTAAGTAGTAGTACTAGGTAATATAGGTCGCTAACAACTAGGGCCCTTCGGATTATTTAGTAGACTTCGATAGCCTAGCGACGATTACTAGCTAGCCTACTAGCTATACTAGTCCTACTAACTAGATAGTGAAGGAGTCCTACTTATTAGTAGTAATAGTAAAAGCGACTTAAATAATAAACGAACTAGGCGCTAAATTCGAAATCCTAGAGAGCTAGGTATCTAAGTAACTAAAGGTCGCTATACTTAACTAAGATACGGTAGTCTAACTAAACTTAACCGATCCGCTTATTTAAATAGTTACTTACCGGTAGATAGCTACCGAGAAGTAGAAGAAACAAGCGGAGATTTAGGTAGAATTAGACCTCGAGCTAGTAGTAATATAAAATAAAGAAAAGGAGAAGTAGGTAGACTTCGTAGAGAAACGAGCTAAGGCTATAGTAGCTCTTAACTAATAGAGATAATAGAACGAATATCTACGTAGTAGACGGCCTACGAATAGTAAATATCTAGATAGATAAATTATAATATAATAAGGCAATATTATATCTACGTAGTAGATAGCCTACCGATAGAAACTTTTACATAATATAATAGTACGAGGGCGTACCTATTTCTTTTGTTTAGGGCAGACTATTACGCAATAGGAAGGAACGGCATAGGATAAGCTAACTAATCGAGGGCACGGCTGCCTCCTATAGTTAGCCTTCCCTTCTATATAATCGTCTACAATGACAACCTTCGTAACATCTTCGGACGCATTGGCGGAGATGCTCACACAATATTCTTCTCGAGCCACTTCTCCCAATCACCCTTGCTGAAGCTACTGGAGATAGCACCATCGGGATAACCCTGATGATGGTCAGTAAGCAGCGAGCTGGAGAAGTCAAAGATGGCAACGTACATTGAAGAAGACTGTTGGGGTGACGTGGTTGCCTTGAAGCCGATTGTGCTTGATCAAGAGCTTCAGATCGTTGGTCACGCCGTTGCCAGTATTCTTTCCAGGACCGGCAGTGATCTCTAAACGCCCGTAGATGTCTTGCTCGTCGAGGCCGACGCTGCCGGCGAGTTGGGCAAGTCTTTTGTACGTGTCGTTTCTGGCCTCGTTGACCAGGCTTTCGTCGAAGTACTCGGTCTGCTTTCCGAAGAGTGCCTTGCTGAAGTCCCAGAACTTGTCGGCATTCTGCTGGAGAACAGCTACGCCAGCCTCGTGGACCAGAGTGGAAGCCGGGTGCCATGGCTGCGCTGTCATCAACGCGCATTCCCTCGTACTGCCTGATTCAATCCGGGAAATCTCTCCTGAAACTTACCTGGATCTGCTGGCGGAACACAACTTCGACCTTCCCTGCATACTTCTGCTGGATCACGGGAACGACATCATTGTAGAATGTGTCAAACTGCTTCTTCGAGAAGGGGCAGACGTAATCGAGGACTGGCTGGCCGTCAGCTCGGCGCCATCCGCCAATAATTGCACTTGGCAAAATATACAGAATTCTATGGTATGCAGCGCTTGTGCTTTGGAGCCAGCGACGAGCTTGGCGCCTGCAAATCTTGGAGCCAACGCCATCTTGATGATGAGACTGTGCTTTGTGAGAAGAGAGGCTTGTTGAGGTGAGGTGGAGTAGTTACTGGCGTGATTGCCTTCCTGCCATTGTCATGATGCCATGCTCCTGCCTCCCCGGCACTAGGCGAGAACTCTGTTTGTCGACGCGTCACTTGCCTTCCAATCTCACATCAACATCGACCCTCACTTCATCAACATATCACCATTGACAGCAGCACCTTCTCACCACCTGCAGCTTCTACCCTCACATCAACATCGCTCCGCTATAGCAGCAACTCTCTGCCACCAGCCTCCAACCCGGCGACACGTCTGTCGCTCGCGGCATTGGAAGCGATTCTACACAAAGGTTGGTATTTGCGCACGTTTTATTTGGCTTGGCGGTTTCCTTCTTGATACGTCTTTGACTTGGGGCTTTGAGATTGAACATGGCGAAAACGCCAGTGTCCGATCTATATGAGAGGTACAAAATCGGCACCAATCGCATCGTCGAATGGTTGGCCGAGACTGGAGGCTTGCGTAAGACGAACGCAGCTGGATTGGAGGGTGAGGGTGAGTTCATCACGGTCACCACGAATGATATCACTGCTCTTGCTCAGCAGATACTCGCCGATTCGAGCTCCGCGAAAGCAGCACCGGACGGCTTGCAGAACACGATATGCGTGCTTGAGAGTGTAAGTACATTGCAGAGAGCAAGGCATGACTCCGCCGAGCGACAGCAGCTTTGGTCGTCGTCTCAGACACGGCAAGCTGGAGTCGCCCTTTGCTTTTGGAGCCGAAGAGCCCCTCCCTCTCAGACACACGCTGACCCTCGTGCCCTTCGCATTTAGGTGATTGCGAACAGGGCTGAGTGTGCTATTTGGTATTCGAAGCAAGCGCAAAATGCCGATAACAAGCAAGACAAGAAACAGAACCGTCCCAAGGCCGGACACCAGCATTTCATCGACGTTCTGCGCGGCGCTCTGACATGTCTGAAAGAAGTTCTTGCGAAATTTGCTGTCCCTGAGAGCGGTCATCGTAGACGCCGGGGAGCCAAGAATACTGCCAGGGCACGAGGAAATCCACCGAACAACGATGTCTTTCGCAACATCTATCAAGGTCTCCAACTCGATGAAAGCAGTGACATCGACGGCATCCAGGTGACTTTGGCGACGACCAATCTTCAATCCGACGGCAGAGCGTTCAAGCCAACTTTCAAGCTTGAGTCGCTCGAAGAAGACAAAGAATTTGCCATGTGGTGCTTGCTACGGGACTGCCACGAAATTCGGGACTTCATTCGATCGCTTTGGGAGTCATACGCGAATGGTCAGGTCACCATCATGACTGCAGCGGATGTTACAGAGAAAGCTTTCGTCCTCATTGGCCGTGCAGCGGAAATTTTCGCAGCTGATTTTCCATCGCTTGCGACGTTCGACCAAATAGCAGATCATATCGGATGGAAATCTGTTGTCGAGGATCCGAGAGACGAAGAATCGGTACACCAGAACCCCCTCCTTTGTATTCCCGCGTACATCGAAATGAGCCGTTCGCGAGAGCTCCACGGTCTCTCGGAGAAAGAAGTAGGCTCGAAGCAACACTTGGATCTCTTGGAGGAAGTGAGGAGCAGCCAACTAGGAGCCCGCCTTGTCGACATGGTGATTGAGAGGGAGAATCGTGGCAACGACTGGGTCCAGCTACTCGCGGTGTTCTGCGACACATTCATTGGGCAGCAATTCGAGGCACATTGTGATGGCATCCCCCTCAAGATCGCTACGGTCATCAATTACCAGATCTACATGGACATCATCGCCATCACCGCCAGGAACAAATACTCGGTTCCATGCGCATTAATCGATGCTCATGGACTTATCAATCGCCGTCTCAATGACTTTGGATCCAAAGCAGAGGACGCAATCAAGGACCATATATTCAGAAAGAAGTTTTTGACATGCGCCAAGCGTCAACAGATTTTACAGAATCTCACCAATGTTCCCAGATCTTTGATACTGGAAGCAGGTGTTGGATACGCACGCTTTTCAGAATCTACGATTACCAACTTCCCGGTATTCGCAGGACGCATCTCGGTCCACAACTTCGTGGCGAGCTCAATCGATGGCCTAGAAGCTTGCGACGAGGAAGGGATCTCGACATGTGTCGCTACCCTGTACAGAGCATGCCGCACCTCCGGTCTTCTTCGCAAGAGCTGGAAAGACATGGAACAGCTGATCGGCCGAGCCGACCCCAAATCTATTGGATTCCGCGATCTAAACAGCAGCGAGAAGCCTTTGAGACAAATCGCGAAGAATTTCGGCCTTGCCATGGGGGTCTCTGCCAGAGAATATAGCAAAGAGAGCATAGCACGCAGAGGAGGCGCCGACGCACGAGTCCCACTCCCCACTCCCAAACAGGTCGAAGGCCGTCGACAGCACCTCCAAGCCCTTTCACCGCAGCTTGCCCACCGACTCGACTTCGAACAGGCTCTGAAAGTCGTCGGTCTACCAATGGGTCAAGCAGCCCTGACGACTCTCCATAGCACAGTTTCTTCGATCCTCGATGATGATGAAAACCCCATCGACGCCGATATCAAAGTCCGTTGGCAATTTACCCGAAAATTGAGTCACGTCGATCTCCTCTCCGTCTGGACCTCTGTCCTCGATGTCCCAGGAACTCGAGCGGGTTTCGATTTCCATGGTTTGTTCCTCAAATTCTGCTGGTATATGGATCAAATCAGGCAGAATCGCGCGGATTTCCCGAAGGATTGGACGTTGATACAGGTTGTGGATGAGGTTCTTTGGGAGGCTGCGGCTGTGGAGAGCAATGGTGGTGGTTTGCGTGCGTTGGGTGCGACGGCGCTGGGGTTTGTTGCGAGGTTGTTTGCGCAGGAAGAGAAGCCTTCGGAGTTTTACGATGGGGCTGAGCTGGCGCATGCAGGACAGCTGTGTCAAAAGTATAAGATGAAGGAGAGAGCTACATAGGTTGACTGCATGGATACTCACCTCAATTAATGGAATGGCTCTCAGCTCTGCAGTTTGATGCCTTCTATGCCCGCCGCGGAAGTTTGAGTTGTCTGAGAACGTCTGGGTCGCTCTGAGCCAATCACAAAAGCACACGACGAAGGAGAGGGATCAGTTGCATTCACGATACTCACCCGGACTAATAAAATGGCTCTCAGCTCTGCATTTTCATGTTTTCTATGCCCGCCGCGGAAGTTTGAGTAGTGTGAGCACGTCTGTCTTGCGTTGAGCTGAATGATGGTCGACTGCATAACACTGATGGCATGGCTCTCGTCTCTGCGACTCTCTGGTCTCTGTGCCCGTCGCAGAAGTTCTCGTGCTTCGAGCGCCGTAAGTCTTGTCTGAGCGGGGCGATGATGATTGCATGGTATTGAGTGCTCAGCTCTACAATTCTGCAGGGAATCGATAGCTCAGCTCGGCGGATCTATGGCTTTCGTGCTCGTCCCTGGTAGGGTTGAGTGGTTTGTGCAGGCCCGCATTGCTTCGAGTGTTGCTTAACTTTTAAGCTGGATGGATCTCATCTGCATTGATCGATGGCTCCTATAATTTCCATGCCAGTGAGGGACGTTTGAATGCTTCGAGCACGTCCGTGCCAACTTGAGTGTGAGCAGGACCTTTGCCATGCAGCAGCAGTAGCAGGATTGGAAACCTGTAATCAACTCTATTACTCGATGTCTGCTGTGCTGGCGACGGAGATCCCAGTGTCTGTAGCACGTCCGTGTTACCTTGGGCGTTGACAGCATGCTTGCCAGAGAGGAGTATTACAAGGGACGTTCGGCCTGCTCAACTCCTCTGCTGTATCGCCGACAGGAGTCTTCATGACTCGAGCATGTCCGCGTTACCTTGAGGGTGGACAGCATGTAACTCCTCAGGCGGCCACTGTCATCGTATTCAGTACCGAGCAACCATGCGCTTCTCGAACAAGAAGCATACTCATAGCCTTGTCATCCCACACAATGGCAGAATAGCGGCTCACGACTATCGAAGTTTATTTATAGATACCTTGTTTGAGGCTAGTGGATGCCTGCCGACCCTGCCACGCGGATTTTTTTGGAAGTAAGACTTCTGCTGTTGTTATGCAGGAGGTAAATCGAATATAACCGGCTGTGTATTTTTGGTACAAATCGAAGCTCGGCTATATGTCTTGTTGCGCGACCAAGTGTTGTTTGAAGGTGATGCGGTCGAGCGAGGCGATGATGCTGGTAAAAAGACGTGATCGTGAATCGTGATCGTGATTCATAGATGATGTGCAAGAATCCAGAAGAAAGTAAGGTCTGACGCTCGTATCTAGTGTCTCGTGAGTAGGAATTCGGAAAAGCTTGGAGAAGACGGATCTGCTTTGAGGTCTTGCGTTAGCACTTGTCAAAAGCTGCGAACTGTCAACCGTCGTAAGGTGGATAGATGGGTTGGCACTCGACTTTTCGCTAGTCTTGCAGATGGTGTGTTGCACTTGACAGAATAGGCGAATATGCATCGTCGTAGTGAACGGCGTAGAGGTTCGAAGACTCACGAGCGAGCGCGAGACTACGATGGTGCAGGCCAAACACCTGCCGCATCGTAGCGTGACATTTGGCAGTTGAATCTGTGGCATCATCGTTTCATCGACTTACATCGATGTTGCCTTCGTGGGCTGTGGTCGCTCGTCCGTCGCAGATATTCTTATGATCATGCATAGCCGTTGGATTCGTCTTGTGTCGTACATATGGAGTGTTTGATCGTCCTGTTCAACCTAAAACCCGCATCTGCGGCACGTCTCGACAATGAGGAGGGCCAGACTGCAATGGTTTGCGAAGTATTCAAGTTGTTTCGAGAATAATAAAATGATGGCGCCTTATCAGAGGTACGGCTTGTGGCCAGGAGTCCAGGACTCAATTATTCCGACAGGATTTCTGCGAGCGATAGTTTGAGATCCAAGGCGTATGAAGCTTCGGCAATTCTTCGAGTCATGACTGTTAGCGTATCGATTTGCTTTGTGCATTGCGGTGTCATGTTTTCGCATGCTCAAAGTGTCTGGCTTTGGCGCACAGGTCCGATTCCGCTGCTTGCTGCGAAGACGTCATGCGATTGAGCTGGCCGGCACTCTTGCTTTAGCCAGACGTTGGCGTACGGGAAGGCAAGCGCGACCGTAGTCGCCGTGTGGCACAATTGTTGGTCCAAGCCTGCTACGCCATGGCTCTTTCGGTTCAGTTCAGCATCCCAGATGCTCATGGCTTGGGAAGTTGCGCAAGTGTATTCTACAGGATTGCGGCGCGCGGTACCAGGCTCTATTGACACAGAATTGCATGATACTCGATAGAACTAGCGGACGTTGCGTTGTGGTCAGTGGCTGTCAAGGGACCTGCATTTGGAAGTCGAATGCCGTTCTAGACTGCCCAGTGATATTCTACATTGGGGCATGGCCTGGCCTGTCCGTTCACTGCTCAAGCCTCAAGGATAGGCTCTGTCTCCTCATTCTCGAAGGAGCATGAATTGGACGTTATAACGAGGTGGCAGACTCAGCTTGTGAGACCACAGATGCCAGCAAGGAACATTGAACTCTGCACTCAGTAATAATAAGCAAGTCACCGAGCGTTTTTGCTCCAAGATCGTGGGCCACACAGTCAAGTTCGAGGAGAGAGTCACGCACGATAGAAGTACTGGAGGAGATGATGCAGATGTGCAAGACAGGGCCAGCCAGCCCCTTCACGTCCATTTCCTGATTCGGGACTTCGTAGAAAGACAGCGCCAGGCCAAGACATCCAATGGTCAGCCTGCCACAGTCCATGCAGTTTTGCGTTCGGTGGCATGGCATGGCATGGCATGGCATGGCATGGGCGGAGGGAGGGCCGGCGTGGTGTGATTGCTGGCCGGATAGAATACTACCGCTTTGCTTTGCGGCCTTGATGCGACTCTTCAGCTGCGTACAAACGTCCGGCTTGGGGTTTGCGGTGCAGTAGTACTTGAGCTAGCATACGCCACGAGTCTAATTGCACGCCTCTTCCGTGTGCTCTCACAAGGTTTGTCGTCCACGTTGTGAGAGGACGGATCGGGCAGGCGGCGAGAGATCGGCAATCTCGAAGCATCAGCATCTCCGCGCGTGGCATCCTTGCAGTCACGGCGAACCTTCGAAACAGGTCGACGACTCGCCTCGTGCTCACAGCACATCACAACATCGCCGTACCGTCCGAGCCGCTGCCAGCCCGACCGAGCCTCACCGGGCTCGCAGCCGCCAGCCAAGCGCTGGTACGGTACAGCTGCTGCCCACGATGCTGGATGCATGTGGAGGGCGTCAATGGGAGCAGCCGATCGATAATACAATATTCGCTGAATGCAGGTGTCTGCGCGCACGACTTCCCCCGTGAACTCAATCTGACGCTGCCGGACTCCACTGACTTTGTCCCGCTGTGCTTGTGCCCTTGCCCTTGCCCTTGATCATAGCATTCCATATTGTTCATTCATGCTCGCCTCGCCCACGAGCCCATGCACGGCCATACTGCGCGCTCAGCTATTCTTAACACCACCACGTTATCGCGCCGCTGAGCACAGGCCCCGCCCCGCCCCGCCCCGCCCCGTCCTGCCCTGCCCTGCCCTTCTGCCCTCTGCATGCCACACGCCAAGCCCAACCGCCAACCAGAGACCGAGAGGGGGTCGCAAAGAAACTCCACTGGCTCCTACGCTACGTCGCTATCGATACAGCATTTCATTAACACCGCCAGCCTCGTCGCCGCCTCTGTCTTCGCCCACCTCCCTCCCAGGAAACGCTCGGCCCTCTGGACCTTCTGATTTGCCAGTACATGGCGATCCTGTCTGCAAACACGCCCTTTCCCTCAACGTTTTCGTTTCGCCTTCATCAGAGGTCTTGCGACAGCGCCACCGGGAGAGCTACGACCACGGCGACAGAGGCGATGTGCATGTGCGGAGAACATCGACCTGGGCATCGATATTGAACACCTCGCATTACGCATGGCCTCCAGCATCAAGACCGAAGATGCATTCCATCACGCATCCATGCCAGACACGTCCGCTGCTGAAGCCGCCCTCAAGGCAAAGTTGTCGAGAAAGCGTACCAAGACCGGATGCCTAACTTGTCGAAAGCGACGCATCAAATGCGGTGAGGAGCGACCCGTGTGCAAGAATTGCATCAAGAGCAAACGGCACTGCGAAGGCTACAACCAACGCGTTGTCTTCAAACCTCCACACTTCGAGTATCAACCCATCGCTAATGGCGCAGCTCACATCACCTTTCCTGCCGGTCCCTTCATGGAGACACAGCAGACGGAGGCACCGCCCGCGCCCGCGCCGCCTCTTGATCCGGCCATGTATGGTCAATTGCGACCTCGGCCTACCGAGCAACAGTTCATGACTGTGTTCGATCAACATACACAGCAAATTGTTCGCATTCCAGTCCCTCCACAACAACCCCATCATCCTTCCCAGCTGCCACCGAATGACCACTGCCAACCATTTGCTGCACCACCCGTCATTAGTCCAGGACATATGATCCAAGATCCATTTCGATCGCACCAGTATGCTCAACAGGTTGCAACCCAAGTATATCAGCAGCAAGACTCCCAGCTTGGACCTGCATCAATGCACACCGTTCCCGGAAGCAATGGTGTAGCTCCTCCACCTGCTGATAACCACACGGCGACGCCAGCGACTGTGCCAGGCGATTATCTTGGGCAGGCCTACGGACAGCCGGTTCAGCCTATGACCCATGCACAGCACGATGCGTTGCATTTGCCTCCAGCGCATCAACCACGCGTGGGAAGCCAAAAGACCGCAGATCAGGAGCAGTTCGTATCTGCGCCAACGCCTGCGTCTTCACGAACAATGTCAATGTTACAGACTCCTCTGGTGGAATCTCAGCAGTGGACTCCAAATGCTTACATTCCCAGGCCGGAGTTGTCTAGACCAATAGACTACCAGCTGGAGTTTCAGCATGCTCAATACGGGATCAAGCAGAGTGCTCATGTCAAAGGAGAATCCGAGGACCAGACAACCCCGGAGCTTTATGAGCATGAATATCACGCGCCGCAGAATGCGACGCCAACTTATCTCTTGAATGCTGCTGCTGTAGAATACCAGGATGATGATTACTACGACATTCATTCGGATGAAGAGCAGGACGTGGATGCAGCGATGATCCAAGGTCGAGATCATCAGCGACAACGAACACTCAACAGGATATTGGCAAGAAATCAGATCGGTGGACGCGATCTGCAGATTCGCAGGTACGATACCTTCCTCTATGCGGGCATTCTCGACACATACAAGGTCGAGAACGTTGCCAATCCTTTGAAGAACCCTGCCACTGCACGCGTCTTTGCACACTTCATCTCAGCCACCGGACCAAGTCTTTCCATCTTTGAGCGCCATCCCAGGAACACCTCGGTCCTCTTTCACGAAGGTTCTATTCCCCTTTCCCAGCAAGGCTTGTGGACATACACCCTTCCCATGGCCGCCTTGCATCACCAAGGCCTCCTGCATGCAATGTTAGCCCTCGGAAGTCTCCACATAGCCCGATTGCAAGATGCATCAGTTACACCTTCTATCCAGCACTATGCTTGGGCGCTCAAACGTGTTCATGCGTCCGTAAGCAATCCGCAAAGCCGCCTGAAGCTTACGACTATTGCCGCATCGATGCTTCTTGGCTTTTACGAAGTCATGACAGCAGATCATATGAAGTGGAATACGCACTTGGCGGGTGCGAAGCAATTATTCGTTGAGACTGACTTTGTAAAGATGACACAGGAATTCCGTCAACTGAAGTTACAACGAGCGGCAACACATCAAGCCAGAATGGAGCGCTCGTACAGCTCGCCAGCGTCGCCCGAAGCATTCTCGCAAGAGGACCTTCTCGATCAGATACCCGACATTGACGAACGTCTGGTCAGCGAGATGATTGGACGTGAGGTGCGCTATGGAGGATATGGTCGGGTAGAGGGACCGCCAAGCGCCATTCCACCAGAGCTGGACCTAAGCAAATTCGAAATCCTGAAAGATCTGTACTGGTGGTACTGCAAGCAGGATGTCTACCAAAGCATTGTCAGCGGCAATGCCCTGCTGTAAGACGGATGTTCTCCAGTGCAAGATTTATGCTGACGGGCCTAACAGTATGGACTTCAACCGATGGGCTAATTGTCCACCTCGAGCCCCAATGGGCAAAGTTGATGCAGTGCATGGCTCATTTGATCACCTCGTCCTTCTTCTTGGCAGAATCGCAGACTTCTCCTCCAAGGACCGAGAACGAAAGCTGAAGCAAATCCAGGCCAATGGTGGTCGGTGGAAACCATTGCCAGGCACGCCGGGTATGAACATTCGGCAAGCACCTCCACAGGCCAGTCAGCCGCCAACCCCCGTGTCTGCCAGCTTTCCGCCTCCAGGAAATCCCTTTGCCGCTCCAGGTCCGCCGATGGGTGAGCCGCCTCCGATGCCCGCATTTTACGGCATGGCACCGCCGCCACGCGCAAATGTGCAAATGCCGGCGTCCTACACGCCATCTGGAGACCACGCGGTACGAACGCCGCAAAGTGCCCGACCACCCGACCTTCTGGACACTGACCTCGCTGCTGCGACGCAAGCAGCACTCGCCGAATATGGTCGCATTCGGTCAGCTCTGCACACATTCGCGAACAGTCTCGGTCCTGGCTTCCAACCTCTTTCGTCTGCAGAACAGATACCAATGACGACTGCTTTTGGTGATGCGAAGTCTTATCGCTCTTATGACATCGGCTGCTTATGGGCAATCTATAATATGGCCATCATTATCACAATCCGGTCGCATCCACACATGCCTCCCGCAATGCACATGGCAGCGGGCATTGCAGCTCCCGAGACGGCGCCATACGCAAGGGAGATAGGGCGCATTGTCGCTGGCATCGTGCCTGGTCCGTCAGATGCTGGGCTTAACCCAAGCCTCGGCGCTGCACTGTGCGAGAGCTGCATGCCCTCGTTCTTCGCTGCAGTGCAATATCAGGAGCCAGCACAGCGCTGGGAGACGGTCACGCGTATTTTCGATATAGCCAAAAGAACTGGCTGGGGCAGCGCAGAATTGATCGCAAATGGCTGTGAGACTGCATGGGTCAAGGCCGCTGCCATAGGCAGAGGGCCGCCGTATACAAGAATTGTGAGATCCGAGACTAGCGAGGATCCTAGACTCAATGGTAGCTGGGAGAGACTTGATCCGAATGCTCAGCCCAACGAGAACGATGAGTCCGATAGACGACTGGTGAAGACAAAAGCGAATGCGAGGCTCAACTGGGCCGTAGGGGTAATTGGTGTGGAAGAGGACATCAATAGGATACGAATCTCGGATCAGTAGTGGACGACAGACACTAATGTTGATGCAGTGCAACGACGCATTGCGCCTTCACAACTTGGGTGAAGGTCACTGTAAAGATCCGACTGATTGAGCTGTCCACGATTCTCTGAACAAAGAAATTCTGTTCCATTAGCGTTCTTCAGCGAGCACAGCGGCTATGGCAAGAAAAGGTTTGGGCAAAGGAACAAGGATTGAAGGTAAGCTTGTCGTATTTCCTCATCTTCTGATACAAGAGGAAAATCTCGCCTGGCTGTAGCAGCAGTCATTCATAACTCAGACGGAAAATCAATGGCGCGCACGAGGTCAGGCTCCAATGCAGGCTTCCAAGCGACAAGTCGAGGCCGAAGCAAGTCAGCAACACTCGTGCCGGCTTTTTTTGGTGCTGCGGAGAATCGCGGCACTGGAAATCGACGTAGCAAAAGACTTGCGGCAGTTGGGAAGGGTCACGACGGGGGCGACTCCCGCGATGATGAAAGAAGGCCTCCGTCAAGAAACCTGTGGATAAGCATGGTATCAATTCGAAGAGGGGGAGGAAAGTCAAGAAGGGAAAGAATGAAGAGGAGGAGGAGCGAGAAGCGGCTGTTAATGGATTGAGTGTTATTAAGAAGCGAGATAAGGGGGTTGAGGCAGGTGAGGCAAAGAATTACGAAGAGGAGGACCAAGAAGCGGCAGTCAATGGACTGAGCGTCATGAAGGGGGGAGATGAGGAAGATGAGACCGCGCTGGGCCCAGACGCAGGACAGCTCCCAAAAGTCTTATTGACCATCAGGCACCAGTTCATTCTTCCACGCAGAATGCCGTTCGAGACGAGGACGGTGCGGAACCTCACTCAACCAACCTATAAAATTCCCGAATCCCAGTCCAATCAACCTCCTCTGCTCCGTCTTCCGAAGAAGCCCTCATTTCCGTAATCTATCTCATGAAACCCCCTTCCATTCCCTCCACCCAACCTGGCAAACAAGACATCAAACCCCCGAACATCTTTCCTCTCGGAACCTTCGAACTCCAATCCCCAAAAACATTCCCGTATGGCCTGCAAAAAAAAAAAAATCCCCGTCCCGAAAATCAGGGATAGGATGTTTCAGTCGATCAGAATTATCGGTTTGGTTGAAAGCGAATCCTATCGGTACAGTAGGATACATTAGTAGCACCCCGAACGACTCACTACCACCACCACCACCACTTCTCCTCCTCCTCCAGATCCTTCGAAAATTGATGTTTAGGGTAGTGCGCGTGTTATATTGGTTTTGATGAATTTGGATCGGGAGAATTCATAACAAAAAAGTGATTCATGATGAGGGGGAGAAGGGTGGAGATATTTTTGGATTCCAAGAAGGGAGTTCGAGAGTATTATTTTGGGGAATTTTCGAGGCTTGTGGAGGTGTGTTTGAGTGCGGAGGCCGAGAGGAGGCCGAGGGTTGAGGATTTGTGGCAGGAGGTTCGGAATGAGGTGGCGAGGTATCGGGATTTGGATATGGAGGTGTTGCCGCGAAAGCAGATGGGTATTGGGGTTGATGAGCCTTTGGTTGGGTATAAGGTGGAGATGTATCCGGTGTGGTCGCGATGATACTATGTTGAAGTGTGGTAAAGGGTTTGTTTACTAGATAGTGCCTGATCAACGCTACAGCAAGTGCTCGGAAAACATCAAGCGGGTATAGAACGAATATATGGCCGCTTCAGAAGCATAGAAAGCGCAACGCAATGAAGAATCTGGCCGCCAAGCCATGTGTAGGCCTTCTGTCTAGGTAGAGACTGTCGTCAATTCATGATAAAGTCGTCGAATTCGTCGCGTGAAGATACGTGAGTCGCATCTTAGCGTGTCATCCGCGAGACCGTTGTGCCCCCAAAAAACTCCAGGAAAAGTCGCAAACCAAGTCGCTTGAGATACTGAGACATTGTCACGTTCGGGTGGACCGGTGACACCAGATAATATATGTGAGATTAGGGACATCCGAGGCTGTCCCTTCATTGTAGTTGCTCTATGGCTTTACGAACAACTTCAGTGAGCCTTCGGCATCGGCATACTGCGTGATGAATGCAAGCAGATTTTCCCCAGTGAGGAGGTCACCAACTGAGCGTCGAGTGTATTTGTGAACCGAGATCTCCTGGACGCGCTGTTTATCGAAGGCCAAAGTGGAGGCTATACGACCAAGCAGAGCCTCTGTGGTGTGCAGGCCACTGACATCGACTTCAGTGAACTTCTGCTTGTCGGTCGTAACCATAATGAATTTGTCTCTCCTGGACTTCAAAGACAGTCTTCGCAACTTCGTGATTGCGCTCGTCAATGTCCAGAGAATGTTCGGACTTGTGGGAGAGCTTGGCGTAGATTCTGTGACAGGCGACTGAACGGTCTGAATGTGCAAGGGTTGTTGATTCAAGTCGTTGTGCTTCGCAAGCCAGTCAGAAGCCGATTGCGAACAGCAAGGACATCCAAGCTGCTGGCGCAAGGATTTGGGCACTTTTGGAGGTACCACCATAGCATGCGTCTGCTCGAGATGTCGCCATACGTCCTTGGGGTATTGCGATTTCTTGGGGCAGTGAGTGCATTCATGTGGCCAGTGAGATTCTGGGAGGTGGCGGCGCTCGTGGTGTTTCCGCTCGTCGCATTCGCGATTGAAGCATTGTCCACAGTTCTCGCGGCATGGAAAGCCGCCCTCGATCTTCTTCTGTCGAGAACTCTTTTTCCTCGCTGGCATCAAGGCTGACAGGCCGGTCTGTGTACGGCTGGGTCGTTTCTTCGAGGTTGTGCGCCCCAGTGCTTCGTCTGCAGTTGCCGCCGAAGGGAAATAGTCGCCATGTTGGGTGTTCGTTGCGACATCTGGTGTCGGGCCTGCGAATGGTGTGGGTGTGGGTGTGGGCACGAAGTCCCATGAGTCGGTTGGCGACGGACCTGGACTGGGATCCGATGCTGGGGCGAGATCTGGTGTAGACGGATCGCTATCCTCAGATGCTTCAGGCACAGGTGTTGGCTCGTATGCGTTTCTGTTCACCCATTCATCAAGGTCGAAGGACAGCTCGGTCGCGGTCCTGACAGGCTTTCCTGGCGCTGGGAAGTGAGGGGCGGCGTCGGCGGTCGTCCAGTCCACCTCCCGAAAGCCATCCATTTGCGTCGCATGCATCGTCGTGGCAGCGGGGCTCAGCGTTCAAGACATTTGAAGGATGTCCTGATGCCTATGCGATCAGCAGAAGAGGAGGAAACGAATGATGAGTCTTCAGGCAAGGCTGGCGATGGAGATGGGCGCCCTCTCTTGACCGGAATATGCAAGCGCTCAATCAGAACGACGCGGCGCACTGCAGCGTGCGGCTGAAGCCCGAGAATCCTACCAACAAGGACAAGATATATTTATGGAACCGCGCCGTGACAAGCATGATGAGGACTGCTATCAACATACTGTGATCGATTTGTGCAACGCAACACTACGTCCTGATTTCGAAGCATCCCAGAAACTGAGACAATTGTTGATCTCGACTCGAGTACCTGAGTACCTGCCCAATGTGGATTCACACGTGATACGTGGGACCGCCAGGTAGGGTAGCTCAAGTTGGCGGCCCACATCAAGAGCTGGCGGAACACAGGCCGAGGACTGCAGACAGTAAGAATGACAGCCGTCGTCAAGCGTTGGGTGCCATGGATGCGATTGCTGTATGTTGAGCTGTCACGATGCCTTTCAAGGTCAAGATCTGAATGAGAAGAAGTGTGGGAAGTGGGAAGCTAGGTCGCATGTTCATTATTCATCAAGTGAGTCTGGGCTGGGGAGATGTGCCAATGTGGTGGCCACCATGGGGCAGCACAAGTTGTATGAGCCACCGTCTGCCATCTTGAGACAAGCATGTCGACAAGGCCCTGTCAGGATTAGAATACTTGGCGATGGATTTGACATCGCCGACGTGCAGACGGAAATCCTCACTGAGCATATTCCGCATCAAGACGAGCGCTTCTAACATCGGTAGAACCGTAGAAGCAGGTTGGCAGGTCTGAGCGACGATCATTCACTCGCCTCGCGATAAATCTCCGCTGCTCCCGCTTTGCTCCAGTAAATCCGCCCAAGCTCTGTTCATGGTGCGTTCATGGTGAGCCCCTCGTCGCGTGTGGCATCCGGTATGCCATGTCAGCGGTGACAATGCATCGCAGCTCGTCGCTGCTACCGGCTTCGATGTCACACTCATCGATGAACACCGCAAGGTCAACAGCATTGCGTCAGACGCGGGGTCTGTGGAAAGCAGGAAGAGCTACTCGATCTGTGGCAAGAAGCAGCCCAATACAACCCGTTGTACATCGATTGGAGCAGAAAAGCAGTACGCTAACACAGCACAATGTCGAACGTCTTCGCTTCGCAGACGGGTTCCGTAGGTCAGTACTCCAGCCACGATCTGGCAGCCAGAAACGATACAAATCAACGCGTGTAGAGTCGAGCTCGAACCCACTGAGTGGCCTTTGGAAACCAACCCATCTTCAGCGTCTTCATTATGGCCCAGATAGTGTGAAGAAGCACTTGCTGGAGTGCCTGCCGAACGAAAGCTCGAAAGCATTCGTGCTGACTGGAAGCTCTCTCGCGAACAAGACGCCATTGATCCAGCAAGTGGAGCAGCAGTTGGGATCGAGGCATGCGCAGACCTTTAGCAAGATTGGCCAGCATGCGCCAGTGAAAGAGCTTGATGAGGCGACAGGTATGGATATCGACGAAAGCGATAAGAGGAAGCTAGCTGCTGACCAAGCAGAACTTGTTATGAAGGACGAAGCTATTGATACCATCATCAGCGTGGGTGGAGGCAGTCCCATTGACTCTGCGAAAGGTATATGTTATGCTGCGGACTCATTTTCGTCCTGGCTGACAGAACACCAGCAATCAGCTACCGCCTCAACGAGAAGAAGCCCGGAAAGTTCTTGTACCACATCACCATACCCACAACCTTGAGCGCAGCCGAATGTACGCTTGGTGCAGGATACACAAACGAGGATGGCATGAAGACTGGTGTCGCACACCCTGAGCTTGCTCCGCATGTGATCATCTATGACAGCAAGTTCGCTCTCGAAACTCCACCTTGGCTGTGGATGAGCACGGGTCTGCGTGCTATGGACCACGCCATGGAGCTGATGTATCATTCGACAGCGACTGAGATCCCGTGTCGACAGATGGCACTTGCTGCGGCGGGAGAGCTGTTCATCAATTTGCCCGCATATCACAAGTATCCCAAAGATGAGCAGGTCATCACCAAACTCCAGCTTGCTGCATTCGCTTCCCTTGGCTTCCTGGCACTGAACGTCAAAGGTGCTCTCGGTCTCTCGCATACACTTGGCTATGCACTTGGCTCGCCATTCGGTATTCCACACGGGGTCACATCCTGCTTGACTCTTGGCCATGTCGTCAAGCTGAAGGCAGAAAGCTCGGAAGAAGACGCGGCGCAGCTTGCAAGAATGGCGCCATTTATCGGCATTGCCAAGTCTGGCGATAATAAGAAAGATGGAATTGCTGTCGGTGATGCCATCCTGAAGCTCGTGCAGGACATCGGGTTGAAAACGACACTCACCGAGAAGGGTGTCGGCAAGGACAAGGTTGATTGGATTGTCAAGACTGCCACGGGTCTGGAAAGCGGACCTGTATACGACAAGGTAAAGCAACTTGTGGAAAACTTGTATTAGCAGGTTTGCATCAAACCACATCGTCTACACATTAATAAGATGGAGGCATGGCTGGAGTTGTATGTCATAGGGTGCTACAAGACCTAGCACGACGAGATGGCAAGCGCCGCGCTCTTGCCTTGACTTGCCGTTGCCATCTCTCATGCATCGGGAAACCGTTGCCAAGCCGCCCCGCCTGTTCTGAGTCGAAGCTCCCTCGCTCACTTCGATTGAGTCTCTCGCTGTCTCCTTTAAACGATGACACACTCAGCTATGCAGCGCACTTTGGAAGCATTGCTGCGCTCGCGTGCTCGGAGCGCATCTACACGATGATTCAGAGACCTTCACAGAGGTGGGAAGTTTCGTAAATCACTTCGAGCCTCTCAGCTGACACCGCCAGACTGCCAAGGGCGATGCAACCGGCGGTGAGACCGAGGAATGGGCGACATGGCCTATCGCAGAAATGACACTACGCTATACATCGCAAGCAGGCACTGTCATACTTCCGCGTCCAATGAGCCAAGAAGAAGCATTTGCACGATATGTTGAACTTGAGTTCATGTACAACAGCAAGAAGGTGCCGCGGAATTGCCAGTTTCGCGAGGGCAATTACGACGAACTGCTTGCCGCTATAAAGCGAGTCTTGGAACCACTCGGTCTGTGGACTAGAGCGAAACGCCCGCTCATCTTCATCGGCGACGTGCCAGAGCTCGTGCGGTGGAAGGCCGACGAAGAGCAATACCGCGCGCTCTTTCTCGTATTGCCATTTATCTCCAAGAACCTGAAGAAGCGCCGGGGTATCGTCCGCGGCCAGACTACATACAGCAGCGATGCCATACTCAAGCTTCTCGAAGGAACCTGCAAGCTCTTCCGCTTGATGGACCTGCCAAAGGGACCAAGGGCTCGAGTGTATGATTTTATGTGTGCTTCTTTTGCGGAGTCGAAGGAATTGAGGTTCTGCGACAAGTACATCGATCCGGATGAGTCTGACGGTTCTGTTCCGGACGGACTATTCAAAGGGCTATCACTCGTCTCAAACGAGTTTCGTTCGGCTGCGATTGAGAGATTTGTCGCATTTCAGCTTTTGCACATTCAATTCTTCTGCAACACCCTCGATAGGGAGCTGGAGGAGCTTGAAAAGCCCCTAAAGAATTGGCCTCTTAAGTACTTGCGAAAATTGCACCTCGAGTGTGGTTTTCACAAAGGTCACTGGGACGAGTTTCTGGTGACGTGCAAGCCGGGACAAGGCATTAAGGCCGTGCACAGGCAGATCGATGACTTCGACGTTCCTGACTTCGTGCAGCGTGATGGTCTAAATGAGTATGCCGCCATCATCGAGCAGCGGAAGAAGGATGAGCAGTGGGAGAGTACTGGCGTAATTGAATTTCTCACGCTGGATCGAAATGCTCTCAAGGTCGCGGTCTGGCCCGAAGTGGCGATTGAAGATGGGTGGGAGGGGACAAATGAGCGCCATGCCTATGAAGAGGCATATGGACGGCCGGTCATTCGACATGATTGTCCTTGGTAGGGCTCTATGCGGATGTACAGTCTAGCGAGCGCTTTCTGGATGCTGGCGTCTCAGTGTTCGAACGACTCCAATGTCTAGCGAGCAGCACTGGTGCCACTTTCGCAAACGACACTTGGAATGCAGCATGATGTGTCGGAGTCAATGATAGCACCTGCAAATGGTGTCTATTTGCATGCTAGAAGCTTCTCAGCGTTTCCCTGATACAAGTCTTTGATCTGCTCCTCGCTGAACATCTTCTTCACGCCCTCGTCCATTTGCCCAATCAAGATCTCAACGAGCTTTATGCGTGTGAAGGGGTAATCAGACCCATACATTAGTCTTGTATGCGAAACACCAACCCCCTCTACCAGACCTTTCAGCTGGCTCGGAAATGGAAAGCCAGCCATATCAAACCATATCTGCTTCTTGAACGCCTCCTTGACTACCTCCTCAGACACACTCTGCCACGTCGGCCCCGGCAGCATTTCACTATACCCTGTCCATCGCGAAAGCAAAGGCGTAAAAGCTCCTCCCAAATGTGATAGAACAATCCTAAGATTCGGACACCTTTGCACAGTCCCACTCAGAAACAAATTCGTCACAACCCTCGCCGTATCAAACGTAAACTCCAACCAAGGATTCGGTAACTTCCCTTGAAACGGCGTAGCTTTCATCGGCTGCTGTCCAGCAGCAATCTCTTCAGACGAACAGGGACAGTGAGGCGTGGTAGGATGTATGAAAACCAAAGCCTTCCTCCTATTCAACTCATCAAACACAGCATCAAATTCCTTATCGCCAAGATAATGTCCGTGATGATTCGTGAACATCACAAACCCATCACAACCTTCTTCAACACTCTTTTCAATCTCCTCTAAACATCCTTGCACATCGGGTAATGGTAATGCAGCGAAATATCCGAAACGATCGGGTCTGCGTTTCTTTAAATCGCTGGCGAAAGAATTCACTTCTCGAGCTAGATTTCTGGCGAGGGAGTCGTTTCCCGGCACGAGATGACAGCCTGGACTTGAGATTGAGAGGATGGATTTTGAAATTTTGTTGTTTTTCATCATGGTGAGGTGTTCTTCTTCGTCCCAGTCTGGGAGATAGGGCATTCCGTCCGGGAATTCGTGGCCGTTTTTTCGGCAGGCTTCTTGGTAGAATTTTGGGACGTAGTGGACGTGGATGTCGATTCTGGGGGGCATTGTGGGGTCCATGGTGTTGTGTTTTGCTGGGAAGAAGATGGCGAAAGGTACGAGGATGGGGGACATGCTCCCCCTTTCTGGTTTAGCATTTTCGTACCCTGTATGGGCGTGACTATTCATAGACCTGCCCTAGTTGTTCGTGGACCGCGGACCGAGAGCCGGCTCCGGCCTCGGTAAGCCTGCATTACTAGCAATCTATACTATAGAATATTGTAACAGAGACCTCTAGCGCTCTCGTTAGCTACTAAGTAGAATTAATAAGAAAAAGAAACAAAGTAAATAATAGATATAGAACTAGATAATATAGCTAATCCTAACTATTCTAGGTATACTAGCTATCTAGTAAACAAGGTTCTACGACCCTTATATTAACGTAGAGCTCCTACTATACGATCTTAGTATATTCTAGTATTACTACTAGCGCTATAGATACTAGTAAAGCCTTATAAGTAGGTAGAGGTCCTTCCTAAGTAGGTAAATAAGTTATTAGAGGGTATATAAAAAGGCATATAACCGGCTAAGTAAAGCTAGGGTCTTAGTGCCTTAGGTAGGGCTTAGCGCTTAGCGTTAGCCTAACTCCCTAATCTTCCTCTTTTTTCTTCTAAAGTCGTCGATTTGCCGCTTTTAGAACGAGGCTCTTATACTAGCGAGTTTATTACTTAGCTATTAATCTCGTGCTTTAAGACCTTCTTAATTATATATAAAGTTAGCTAGATAACTACTAACAAGTTACAACGCCTCTAATAATAATACTCTCTACGATACGATTAAGCGCTATATATACTAGAAGGGCTTAATATACTAGACAAAACAGAGCCGCCGTCTACGCTGTTTTAGCTATATTATTAACCCCATCATACAAGCCTTTATATTTGCTATATCTACGGAAGCCGTAGAGTTAGCGGATTAAAGGGCTCTTTAAGCGCGGCAAGTGCTATTTAATAAGCAACTAGAGAGCGATAGTAATAGGGTCTCTATATCTAGGTAGTTAGATCTCGATATAGAGTGCTTTACTAGGCAAACTTTACTATAACGTCTCTACCGACTAACTAAGGTCCTATAGCGAGAGAACGACTTCTATAACGCCTTTATTAGCTAAGGTATAGCCGAAGCTTCCTTCTACCTATCTAAAACTACTAGGTAGGACCCGGTAGAATAGCTAGTTACTAATAATTAAGGAGGCTATCTAGATAAGGCCTATTTGTTAGGACTAAAGAGGTTATACGTGATTAGTATATAACTAGGCTCGAGTAAAGCTAGGGTCTTAATACCTTAGGTAGGGCTTAGCGCTTAGCAATAGGCTAACTCTCCTACCTTCCTCCCTCTCCTCCTAGATCCTTATCGAATACTACTCGTACCTACTACTACCCTATCCACCTGCTAACATAACCCTTCTTATATAGTATTCGATCTACCCTTTAAGGGTAGCAGCTAGATAGTCCTTATTTCAAGCTTTTAGCGGTATAGCTACGAAAACTATCGATTTAACTATATTGCGCCTAAAGAACGGGACCTATACGTACTATTCTGTTAAAACAGCCGCACTAATTATTAAGCAAGGCCTTCTATACGGCCTATTATACCAAGTTAATCGCACTAAGCTAATACCTACTAATTCCGCTATATCCGTATCTTAGGGGCCTATAATATATTATTAGTGTTACCCCTTATAATAGCCGGCTTGTTACGAAGCAACAACAACCGTAGCGCCGCTAGCAGCGCTAGCAATAACAACTCTAGTAGCATAGTGCCTACTAAAGAGCCTACCGGAGGGCCTGCTAAAGAAGAACCTATAATTCCTAGTAATAACCTAGAATTGCCTATTAACGACATTCTTAATAACATTGTTAATCGACGATATAGCTAACTAGCCTTTAGGCCCTAGCCGATAGCGAGACTTTAAGAAGCTACCTAAAACAGGCTTACTGCCTTACGTTAAGAACAATAGCTAAAGGATAACCTCCTCGAGCTCCGTCGCCTTTAGGAAGCCCTAACAATCCCTACTAAACTAATAGCAGGACCTTCTTTACTACCTGTCTAAAAGAAGGATGCTAAACTTAAGGACTATACTGTATTTAACGGCTCTAGTCGCAAGCAATACAATAATTATATACGTAATTGCGAGCTTAACTAGCGAAATATACCGAGGGCTCTTCTAGACGACTATTTACTAGTTGTCTACGCTATATAGTATATTAATAGCGACCTAAAGCGCATATAGGATAACTATTTCGACTGCCTTAATAACTAGACTGCTGTTTAGTAGCAAACCTACAAAACTATTATACTAGACACCCTTAGAAACCCTATACTAAGGCAATAACATGCCTAGGACTAGTACCTTCGAGCTAAACAAAAGACTAACTAGTCGGCTCACTTATTTGAGGCCTATTTAAAGACCCTCGAGGATAACCTTCCGGCTAAGACTAATTCTATATAGATTTCCGAGATATGCCTAAAACTTAGATAGGAGCTTATTCTCGAATTAGACCGCCGTCGTATGTTCGAACAAGCTAACCTAATACGTATTTAATTTATAGTCGAAGTAGAAACAGCTAAACGAGCTGTCTAGCTCTAATAGCGACTAGAATCGAGGATCCGACTAACTAGTACTAACTATAGCAACTATAGTAGCCGCGGAGGAAACTAAGGTTCCTACTAAGACAATAATACTAATAATAGGAACAGTAACAACGACCGTAGAAGGGGCCGTAGCCGACGGCTATATAGAGGAGGCCGCGATAGGGGCCGTAGAAGGGGCTCGTATCCCTATAGTACTAATCGCTTAACTAACAATAGCAGCAATAGCGGCTATAGCAATCCCCTAACTAGATTGAAGTGCTTTAACTACGATAGTACTAGCTATCTACTAGGCTAATACGACAAACCTAGGGACTAGACCCGAATTGACCGTGCTACCGCTAAGTACCGGAAAACCCTTTTAGCCGCTAATACTACCCCTATAGGCTAACCTTCGAAAAAAGAATAAGCGCCGCACTAACTATTAGCCTTGTACGGCGTAAGACTATCGATATTGTACTAGCTATTATACGTACCTGTCTCGTATCGGATACGTATAGAACTAACTATAAGACTAAGGTTATACTAGATCTAGGAAATTTAGTTAGTGCCCTTATTAGCTATCGCCTAGCTAAGCAATTAGACCTTCGACAATTGCCTAGGACTAACCTACTAACTCTTGCTTAGTTTAATAACGCTCGGTACTTAACCTATAGAGCTTACTATATTCCTATAGTTCTAAGGGACGACCTCGGTAACGAACGCTTACTAGATTTCACTACCTACGTAGTAGATATAGACAACCTTCTATCCGATATTATTATTAGCAACCCTGTCCTTAAGTACTACGCTATCACTATAGATTTAGGCCTCTAAAAGTAGCGATTTAGAATCGCTAGGAAGGAGGATATTAAGTATATCGATATTAGCGAGTACCCTAACGATATTAGGGTCCTATTTATTAGCAACCTAACCCTAGCTAATCCGACTACCGACCTACTCGGTAGTAATAACAAAGAACCTATGCCCCCTAATAGTATAGACCCTAATTAGCTTGCTCGTATACCGGAGCCTATTCGAGAGACCTATATTAATGTATTTAAACACTACCTAGCATCGATATTGCCTATATTTAAGGAGACGGATTATAAGATTAACATTATAGAGGGCAAGGAGGTCCCTTTTAGTCCCCTCTATAACCTTAGTAAACGGGAGCTCGCTATATTACGTAAGTACCTAGAGGAAAACCTAGCTAATAGCTATATTCGGTATAGTAACAGCCCTACTAGTGCACTAATCCTATTTGTTCTAAAGAAGGATAGTAGCCTACGCCTATATATCGATTACTATAGGCTTAATGCTGTTACTATTAAAGACCGTTGTCTACTTCCGCTTATTAATAAGACCCTTGATCGCCTTTCTAGTACCTACTACTATACTATATTAGACATTAAGGACGCCTATTACCGCATCTGTATTCGCAAGGGCGATAAATAGAAGATAGCCTTTCGCACTCGTTATAGCTATTTCGAATACTTAGTTATACTATTTAGGCTAGCAAACGCCCCTATAATATTCTAGGCCTATATTAATCGGGCCCTTTCGGGCCTATTAGACTATCTCTATATAGTTTACCTAGATAACATCCTAGTTTATACCTATTTACCTAATATTGCGGAGCACTAGGCTATAGTCCGTAAGGTACTCGATCGCTTATAGGCCTATAGCTTATATTACAAGCCTTCTAAATACACCTTTGCTACTAAAGAGATAGCCTTCCTTAGCTTCCTCGTATAAACCGAGGGTGTTAAGGCTAATCCCGATCGGATTAAAACAATTACTAAATAGCCTATTCCTACGTTAATTAAGGAGCTATAGTCGTTCCTCGGCTTCGCTAATTTCTATCGTCGCTTTATTAAGAGCTATTTACGGTATATAATACCCCTAACTAAGCTTACTAAAACTAAGGCCAATCTATCTAGAGAGTTTAAATAGACTAATAGAGTACAAGCCGCTTTTAACGGTTTAAAGCAACGCTTTACTAAAGTCCCCTTATTATACTATTTCGTACTAAGCAAGCAGATCCGAATTGAGACTAACGCTTTATAGTTTGCTATATTAGCTATTATGTTACAATAGGCTAATAATACCTACTAGCACCTAATTGCCTTCTTCTTACGGAAGATAATCGATATAGAACGTCGATACGAGACCTACGAGTAAGAGCTCTTAGCAATCGTAGAAGCCTTTAAGTACTAGCGCTACTATCTCGACGGTGCTTAGTATACAATTCAGGTCTATACGGACTATAACAACCTACGTAGTATTACTAAGGTTATAAGGGTTATAGGTCGATAGGCTAGATAGGCCGTCTACCTCGCCGGGTTCGATTTTAATATATTATACCGGCTAGGCGTAAGT